TAAGTATCAGAAAAAAATATTTTTTTTCAAATTTTGAAAATCAAACTCGAGTCTCCTTTATTATGGGAAAATAAAAAAGGAAAAAAATGAAATAATTATGAATGACACCTATAAGCAAAAGATAGCCTAACTATGCGGCTAGATATAGAGCGATATACGAGACGTTATTTTCAACAGCTGTGGGTAAACAATAAGGAGATGGCAATTCCCGAAGGGTCTCAGACGATGTACAGAATGGCCACTGTAAATGTGTGAAGAGGACACAAGTGGGGTCAAGAGTGTTCAAATGTTTTTCCAGACAGCCATTTCACCTGGAACATGGAGGAAACTGGTCGATAGCAATTCAGTCGGAAAATAGTGGAGATTCTTTTCCTACGTTTTATAAAAAAAATACAGAAGAAAATAAAGTACGTAGTAAGTTCCTCTTCCAAATAAAATAGCTTTTATCCAGAGTAAAAAAAAAAAAAAGTAACAACACAATAAAGTAGTACGTCTACAACTTACGGATATCAATGTTTGATCAAATAATTACAACTAAGAAAAAATAAAATAAAAAATATGTAGTATAGAGAGTGTCTCAGTTTTTAATGGTCAAACTCCAGAAAGTGATTCTAGACGAAGTTTCCAACAAAACAGTTCATTTGCAGCATTGTCCGATTCCGAACGAAAATGGAGTTAAAACTAATTTTGTATGGTCACGTTTTTTCTTGAATAAGAAGGCATTGCTCAACAAGTTTTCAATATAATTAAATTCAAATTATACAATGTAGACCAATTTAAAAAAAAAAAAATTAAATCTACTAAGGTCAATGGTAAAAGGAACTTTCAGGAGGTCTAATACCGCCGCTGAACAGATATATTCTGCTCTTATATGGGTACTTGATTGCAGCAGTACAGCGGCCGTATTAGACTTCTCGAAAGTCCCTTTTATCATTGACCTTAGTAAATTTAATCGCTGTTTTCTCAAAACAATTTTGTCTTGAGTTTTGTGCATTCCGTCTTAATCAATAAAAACTGTGACTACCTTAAGAAAACAATAAAATAGGTTTTAACTCATTTTCCGTTCGGAAACGACCCATGCATCAAATGAACTTGTTGGAAATTTTGTCCATAATTATTTACCAGAGCTGGACAATCAAGAACTGAGACACTATGTATATACAGTGAATTTAGGAGATCGCCTTGGTGACGGTAAAACAAAGAGGCCAAAAAGTGATAACTGTTTAATATATACCGAAGTTTTAAAAAAAAAATATTTATGATATTTACAACTGTATCAATAAATAAGATACATTTATTAAATTACGCAAGTCAAAAAAAAACTATTAAGAGATTATAAAAATAAATTAAAAAGTATTTATATTTTACGGTTTCTTTTGAATTTTAAAGAACGATTCTTATGATTAAAATGTATGTGAAACGACATTTAATAATTTTTTTTTTTTACTTCCATTCAGACTATTTTCTTTATGAAAACAATTGAATGCTTTCAAAATATAACTATATAAATATATATACGTTATATAAATGACATAGATGTTCTTTACACCTTTGCACTGGATACAGAGATTAAACTAACACAAACTGCAATGTATGTTTTAATTTAATTTCTGTATTATTATTATTTATCTATAATACTAGATACATTAAAGGTGGTTGCACAGACACTAAATCCATGTATATTAGAAAAAATATATGGGATCTGCTATACTTTCCTTCAATTGGACTTTCAATTTAGCAGTTTTTACTTGAATTTATTATCTATTTTTCTGTATCATTAAAAATAATACATGTTATAGTTTTACCTTATTTAACACTATCATTACTCGTATTTCCTTTCATTTTAATATTTAAATAAATATATTCCATTTAGTATAGTCTTATTTTGTATAAGCATTTTATAACAACATTTAAGACAATATTTTGCGGTAATTATAAACGTTTTTCCTTTAGTGTTTTAGATTTTATTTCTCCAGTGTAAAGGTATAGTACCTGTCTATATTAGGAGGATCTTAATGATGCATTTTATATATCATTGATTCACAAACTGAATGCCTTCTTTGATTTGATGATATTGCAGAAGGATTTTTTTTATTTCGATTTTTTATAAAAAAAAAACGAACGAAATCATAATTTATAATCTGTTAAGTAAGCCATTAAATACTGTAATATTTCAAAAAATAAATATATATTTTAATTTTGTGTGAGATATATAGTAATAATGATATATTTCCAAAGTTATTTAATTGTTTAGCAACTAGTAGGGTAATGTTTAGAGAGAAGATGTTGAGGAAAACGGAAGGGCAAGGAGCCTAGGTAAAGAGAGAACTGGCGATCAGAAGAAAGAGGCGGGTTGAGTCAAGTTTTAATTGGATCAGGCTCCCAAAACGGCCGATCCTCACTGATATCTGAAAGCTCCTTATTTACGATTCTAATCTATTGAACCTCTCAGTTCTTTCTCTGCTTTTGTCTTGATGGAAAATTAGTGATCTAGTCTCCCTTTTAGTTTTAAAAGGATTTGAAAATGGGAGGAATGCCAAAATATTTTAGAAACAATTAAAAGCTTGTCGCATCCATGAATCACCTAGGGCAAGACTGTAAAAGCCAAGATTTAGAATAATTGTGTTTACTAATCTTGTAAAATAATAACGGGTAGAGGATACTGCAAAGATAAAAACGTACGAGAAATCAGAATAATTGAAATTGAACTATTGCGTACTAAATATTACTTTCTTTTTGCATAGGTGATCTCCTATATTTCCGTAATCAACTGAATTAATCTAAATTTTTTTTGTTTGTATTTCTTAACAAATAATTAAAAAAGGAAAAAAATAATTCTTACAGAAGCTAATATATCCGCACATCTTTTATTTATTTTCTTCTCAGTGTTAAGAAATATATGAGATATATCGCTGATCTTAGTGCAAAAGGTCGTATGTAAAAATTGAGTTCCCTTGCAGAAATATAAAGGTCGTATGTAAAAACTGATTATTTCTTTATGACTTATTAGAATAATTTCATATTTTATTTACCTCTACTATTTTCCACACTACAAAATAGTGATACAGACTCCTTTTTATCAAATTATTAACATCCCCCTGAAATTTCGTAAATACCTTCATTTCATTGTTACTGCAAATATTTTATTTACGAGAATTCTCCGAATTGAGACGTTTAAAATTTTTAATTAGGTACCAAAAACCCTTAAATACAGATTTTCTTTCAACTTAGATCGTAAGATAATTTCAATAAAAATACGAGAAAAAAGGTTGCCTTCAAAAATATTGAGCCGTTTGGTTTGAACGGCACTCCAAAATCGTCACAATAAGGAGGTCATATACGCCAAACGGCTCAATATTTTTGAAGGTCACCTCTTTTCTCGACATTATGAACATAATTTGAACAAAATTGAATTAAATTTCTATATTCAACTATTCAGAAGTAATAAACCATTGCTTAATAATTTGCAGATTTTTTTTAAATTACATAAATTATTTACAGAAGTTTCATAGGTTTTTTTTAAAAAATGGATTTACTCTGTTATGGTTTAATTTTACTATAGTTTTTTTTTATTTCTAACTAGTTAGCCCGTGCGAATAATTCGCAGAACATTTTGTTTAGTAGAGAAATAGCAAAAAAAAAAAAAAAAAAATGGAAATAAGTAGTTCTTATGTATTAAGTAAGGAAGGAATTAATTTTTTTTCTTTGGTCGATTACAATATTCCATTTAAAATAAAAGATCAAAATATTTGTACAAGTTGCTTAAACGCTGACTGAAAAGATAATAAAAGTAATAAAGACAAAATAGCATCCCCCCATACCCGATGATAATTTATTAAAAAATTAAATTTAAGAACAAAGAAATACCTCTAATAAATAATAAAGTTAATATATCAGCCAGGAAAAACAAGTGTAGTAGACTATTCTACTCCTAAATGGAATATATTTAAAGAAGAAGACATTATTAAGTATACCAAAATTAATGCACTGTATCTTTGTTAATAATGGCCCGATCAATTTTTTTTGTTTTGGAGGTAATTTAGTAATCTTTCTAATTATCATAGGTATAATCGAGAAAAAATGCATACTTTTTGAGTTATTTGCACATAAAGTTCCGTTTAGTTCATAACTTTTCCCCCAGTAATTTCGGGTGATAGAAATATTTTTCTAAATATCTTCAAAATGAGTGGTTTGATCATTGGATATCATGAAGAATTGACGAAGTTATTGTGTAGCGACAAAAAAACACCTTTTAGAAATAATATATAGGATAAGATGATGATGAGTTCTTATCACTATTTTTACAACCAATGCTAAAAGTGAAAATTGTAGCATCACTTTCTTTATCAACATAAACATTTGTAAGATCAAGTACTGAAACATTTCCTGGTATAATTAGGTATTTATGCCAATTTCAAGATATTGGCTATGTTTTGTTAGAATTTGTTAATATTACAATTAATATAAATGAAGCATATTTTCAATGACATTAATTAAGGTTATGTTTACGTATATGTCTGAAAAAGCCCCTCTACTAGACGGTTGAGCTATTATATATGCTAGCTATTCAACTCATTATATATATATATATATTTATATATATATAATATTGTATTAATATTATTAAATGTTTAATACTCTCAAGCTCTGTCCCATGGCTGTTCAATCCAATTTTTTTATTTTTTCTGTTTTAGAAAACATAGACGAAATTAGGCAATATTAAATTAACTAAAAATTGCCAAAATAAATAATATTATTTACTGATTCGAATTAAATGTGACAGAACTTAAAAGTATTAAACACTTATGGCATTAAATAATAATAACATTATGTTATTTTATATGTATACATCTATATCTATCTCTATGTATATCTATACACTCTATATCTATATATATATATATATATATATATATATATATATATATATATATATATATATATATATATTATTATTATGTATTAATATAATATATATATTTCTTTGATTCTGATTTCAGGTTTACTCAGAATCAGAGTCATTAGAAATTTATTTCTCTTTATATGAAAACCATACAATTTAGTTCCACTCAGCTGGAAGCAAATCTAATTTTACTGAGTACCGACACAGAGTATTTTCAACAGCTCCTGACTAGTGCTTACCTGCATTAATAATTATCAAATGGGTAGAGGTTGTTTTAATAAAATTAAATACGACAGAGAGGTAACATTGGTGTATTATTCAGAGTTAAGTACAATCCTGCAGGCAATCAAATTGATATTAGTTAATAACCTACTTGAATTTGTCACTAAACAAAGCTTTAGAAGTTTATTTTGGTATGAATTGTGGTAACTATGACAATTTATGGTATCATAACGGGTAATTCTTAAAGCTATATCCGAGAGGATAAAATAAAACATTCGTGTAGTTCACAGAGATGTTTTTATGTGTTGTAACATACTTAGAACTAGTTACAATAGAAATAAAGAGTAAGATTTATTAAAAGTAACACTAGGAATAGAAAAATAAAGTATAATAAATAGTAAAGCACGTTGTTCTAGCTTAGCTTTGTTCAATATTAGATTAAAATGAGGCGTTTTTTTTATGGTGCAGATAGAAAATAGTTCCTATGTGCGATTTGAACAAAGTCATGCTAGAAATACATTTTTCTATTCCCAATGCTCATTGTACCGCATAAAGAAGTATAGCTTTTCTAAATCCATCTCCTGCAGTAAAATCTATATAATTCTAACATGATTACATTTATCATATTGTGTCTAAATTTAGAGGACGTGACGTGAAAACAATTTTTTTTAAATTAAAATTTATTTTATTTTATGTGTTTATATAAAATAAATATATCGTCTGATTACGGCAACATGTCACTAAGTACATTTTTGATAGAGCTAAAAGTCGTGTATTTTTCTATAAATTTTACTTTTTTTACTAATACAAAAATACATAATTGCATTAAAATTAAAAAAAAATATGAATCAAACACTGATACACTAAATCCACAGGTGGAATTAATCATATCGGGAAAATTGATTTAAGTCTTTAGTAATTTAATTTTAAGGAATGTCACTTAATGACATCTTGCGATAAAACGACGATATGTTCTTTGTTATCTATTGCCCCAAAAAATAATTAGCAATTCCAACAACAAAAAATTAAAAAATGGAAAGTGAGTTTCTATTTTTGTATCTTAAAGCTATTTAAAATAATTTTTTTTGTTATTTTAAGGAACTAAAATTTAAAATTATTTTGATTTTATTACAGCAAGTGAAAGATATCATGCTTAATATAATACTACATTAATAATACATACTAGTAAAGACAAAATATAATTAATCTAAAGCAGAGATTAATAATACATAATAAGTATCACATTCTAAGTTGCAATCGACAACAGACTGAAACACAATCCCGAGTACTGTCAGTTGAAACTGTTTTTTTTAAATATTTATTTGATCACTCAACAAGTGACCTATATAAAACTATATTATATATAAATAATCTTAATATTAGACCTTAAATAATAGAACTGCACACATGATTGGGTAAAAATAAATTAATAAAGAAAGAAATGAGTAAAAAAATAGAATACGAAATTTACGTATTTCCTGAGAAGGGTACCTGGATCGGTTCGTTATATATTGAGGTGATGTGATACTATCAAGAATAGCAGAAACAAGAATAATTCTAAAAAGTGAGTTGGCATAAGATTCTTGATTCTAATATTAGGATCTCAAATTGTTTTCTGGCTCCCTCGGTACACTGGCGAGGAACATTTCTATTTCTTATTGGGAGAATGATTCCGAATACTCTTGCATATGAGAATTTAAGGATTTGTTTAAATTGACCGTAAAACAATTATATCAAACGAGATCTTGATACTTTTCTCACACAACAAATGTATCTAGATGTATAATTATAAAAAAAAATAGGAAAAAAAATAAAATAAAATAAAAGCGATATGTACAGCGAGTGAAAGTAAGTCTTATAGTCCACTAATTACTAAACCAGCCTAAGAAAGTACCTTAGATCTAATAATCATGCATGCACTTTCCGTCCTCAAACCGCCTAAAGGAATAATTGCCAAAGGATAAATAATAGCTAATAACGTTGCTTAGGAATCAAGCACTGCCGAAATAACTTTCTGATGAAATAATGATTAATTTTACCATTAATGTCTCGTTCCCCACTGATGATAAATTATTAAAAAATAATAAGGGTTCAATATATAGTACAGTTTTATACATTGACTTTAGGCGTCTCGGAAGCGGGTTGGTGATTCTATTAATAAGGGGATTGCTGCGGCATGCAAATTTTCCCCTTACGAGAAGAAGTTTAAGAAAATACACAAGTCTCTAATGGACACATCCATGGAGAACCATGTAACAAACATTTACCATCGAAGGCGAGAATGCTTATAAAGCCAATTACCATATCCCACTCACAGCCGACCTTAAGAGAATACATCGGATGACGGGAGAGCGACTGCCGAGAGGACGGAATGTAACCTAGGATGGGCTAGACCCTCCAGCTGGTCCAGGTGTTGTTGAAGTTGACCGGGTTGGCTGCCGGGAGGTCGAGCGGCTGGTTGCTCTGCGGCAGGAGCCCCAGCCTGTAGACCTTGAGGGTGTTGTACATCTTCTGGACGATGTCCGTGTTGTTGGGAGCCAGGTCGAGCCGCTCGCAAGGATCTCGGTCAAGGTTGAAGAGGCAGGGGTGGGACCTGCAGTCCGGCACGAGGTCGTTCACCTGCCGGACGTTGCCGCAGCCAACTGTCGCTTGCCCTCGGAGGTACTTCATAGACAACTATATAAAAAAAAAATCACAGCATTGGTATAATAATTAAAGAAGAATAAATAAAAATAATTTAGGTTAAGATGTCTAAACATTAACATCAAAGTTGAAACTTGTGTACTTGTATAAGTTAAATATTTTTCATTCTCCATGAAAACTAGATTGTAACAATAAAAATTCGACAATCCTCATTTTTTTATGCATTTTACAATGATGATTAGTAACCAAGAATATGATTGGTATGAGACGTCAGGAGATTGCCGACAAGAATATGCCATACACTGACAGTAGCTCATACTCGACGTATAAACTAAGAAAATTTTAAGTAATTATTTAATGTTTCAATTTGCTAATAAAACGTTAGGCTATGTTATATTATACTTCTTCTTTTGCTCTAGCACCTGTAATGATTTTTTATGAACAATATTATAAGGTTGATTCCTGATTTGGCAATATGTTTATTCTTTTTTACCCAACTAGCAAAGCTATACGCTGTTATGTTTTCGGGTTGTTCGATAAAAACTGTTTGACTATTTTCTATAATTACAGTAAAAAAAGAAATTTTTAATAAGAAACATGATAAAAAAACGAATTGCTCTGAGAAAAAAAACATTACTCCAAACATGTCATAATAAGAATTTATTTTTTTTAACGTAACACCTGCCTTAATAATAAAATACAGTCAAGATGAACATATTTAAAATAAAAGACAATTAAATCACTATATTTATAATCCAGTTTAACGATATAAATAGCTCGGATAAAAGTTTGAAAAGTAAACATATTACATCACGGAATACATTTACATGTATCAGTAAACAAAAGAGGCATGAAGTTGAAAATGTCAGTGAAGCTTTGAGAGAACAAAGTGAAACAGCAGAGGTCTCTATGGAACTGTCACAAATCGGGTAGGAGAACATTTGAACCATATAACAAGGCCTGTGCAGCAACCCGTCTACCGATTCTCATTCGGTAGAATGTCTTCAGTAAAATGGATATCCTGGCATTACTATCTTACTCCGCCTATCGCATTTATTTTCTTCCTCAACCAACAATGAGATATTTAAATTATAAAATATTGGAGTGCTACCAATGGGTAGTACATGTCATGTTACTTGTTCATATTTACTTGTTGTATTTATTATTATTTACAGTTGTGAATTTCTTTAATAAAAAAAAATATATTTTTTTATTTATTTATTTTTATTATATTTTTATTTATTTATTTTTATTATATTTTTATTTATTTATTTTTATAATATTTTTATTTATTTATTTTTATAATATTTTTATTTATTTATTTTTATAATATTTTTATTTATTTATTTTTATTATATTTTTATTTAATTATTTTTATTATATTTTTATTTATTTATGTCTATTATTATTTTTTTTTATTGCATTGTATATATAGTATGAACGGGCCTCACTCAGCTTTAGTACTCAATGCCCTTAAATGTGGCAAAATGTATTATTTCACAATAAAAAGATTTAAAGTAAAAAAAAATAAAATATTATTTCATTGATTTTTAAAATCAAAATTTCTTTAGGCACGCGTAGAACTTTATTTTGTGGGTATTAAATCTAGGCTGAGCCGTCATGAAACGTGCATTAGAGTATAGTAGGCTCGAGTAGATTAATATTATTTGGATTAAAACATCTCAGAAACTAAAAATCAGATCTGAACTCTGGAAAATGTTCAGCATTCCATCTTTTTTGTAATAAGCTATTGTTTAAAATGATATGTTGACGCAACACCATGTCAGAGAGGCGAGAAAAAGATAATGTCGAAAAGGAAACGATAATAAGTTTTTTTTTTTTTTGAATTTGGATTAAAATATCTCAAAAACTAAAATTCGGGCCTGCACACTCAAAGCAAGAGAAATTTTCAGTATTTCACCCTATTTGTAACGAGCTATAATTCAAAGTTGTTTTATTATGTGATGCGAAATTAAAGATTCGGAAAGCGAATAAGAATATGCGCCAAAAAAACAAAATAATAATAACGACTCCATATTTAATAAGATTAGCTTATTTTTTTTATCTTAATGTGTTAATTTACATTCCACAGTTAAGTGTGACAATCATTAGATATGATTTTAAAAGGGTTAATACGAAATGTTAATCAACGGAAAGTATTAAATAGTTATTTACATAAATCGATATGTAAAGTAGTATAACTAAAAAAGACACATAAATGAACTGCTATGATAATTCTGATAGGATTTCAAAGGATAATAACTAGATAATTCCAAATTGGATGAAGATAGTAAATGTTTGGCTTTATAGGCATGAAAAAGACCAGTACCTAGCACCATATCTTATTGGTTTAGATTTTGATATTCATGAAAGGAGATTTTAAAACTACTAAGTACCTGCAAACCACACCCATTGAGCATGTCACCCCAAATATTTTTGTTCCCTAGCAATGTCTTTTATGAGGTTTGAGAAGTTCTTTATAAAATCAATTATAAAGAGTACGTGTGTTGGTACAAACCGATATATAGGTTTTTGTTATTTACGAACTAAATACCTAAATCTTTCTTTGGCTGAATTGTGAGCTGAGCGTTTTGCAAGTATGTATCCTATGCAGTATGTACTGTGTCAAAACCGAATATAGGTTATCAGATATTTTAACGACTAAATATATCAAACAATATTTAATTATTAATATCATTAAAGCAATAATGAAACAGCAATAGTTACCTCTTTGGTTGCTGGTATACTGTAAGTGTTAATAGCTTTGTATGCCTTGCTGTTGAGAATCTTCTTGTAGTCGTAAGGCGGGTTCACAGGAGACCTCACATCGTTGTAGACTCCGTCGAACCTACCGTTTGCAAAGGTTCCTAAAATTGAGTTTCAATTAGTTTATTTTCATACGATTTTTAATGAACAAGAGTGATCCTATCTTAAAAAAAGTAGACAATATATAATTTAGTTTATAATTGTATAGTTAAAAACAAACACTTTGCCATTTTATTAACAATGAACAACATTCAACAATAAGATTTTTTTTTCATTTCATATTTTTTCAAACCCCCAATTAGATTTATAGGTTGGGGAGTATATTGTGTACTAGTTTAATCTTTTTTTTCTGAAACGAGGTTTCAATTAAAATCTATTTTGATGTTGGGTTTTATGGTAGTCTTAAATTTCAAGTATTTTAATGGGTGTTATGATAGGTACTTTTTTTAAAAACTGAAATTAAATTAATCTTAGAACAATATTCCATTATATACAATCGTGAACGTCCATGTCACTTTCCCGTGGTGCATTCTGCCATCGCAATGGAGAAGTTGTCGTTGTTAGAGTTGATAACAATGGGTTAAGGAGTTATTTTAATGATTCCTGGAAATTAAAGTGCCTCCTGGTGATGAACATTGGGATCGTTTTGAAATCCAGTATGTTGTGGGAATCCAGAGGATTTTCTTTCTTTCGCATCGATGTTCTGACTTTCTTTGTAAGCATTGTGTTTTGTATTTGTTGGAGGTCTCGATGCGTGTTTTCGGTATAAACAGCGGTGCGGTGTACAGGAGTGCTATTCTTAGTATGGCCTTGTACACGTGTAACGAGAAGCCTTGAGTCGGAGCGAGAGGGCTGTGGATGTAAGGAGGTGGTGCAGACGGTAGGACCGCCTTCTTACCGATCTTGTCTTTTTGTTAGGTGGATATGGTGGTCCAGAGATTAAGAAATTAACAATACTGCCATGATAAATCAACTTACTGATCAGTTACACATAGCGAGTATGGAAATTCGAAGTCAATGAGTAAATATTTGATAAAGATAAAAATTTTAAGTAAGTTGTCGTGAATTTCGATCTTATTTATGGATATAGAAAAAAATCAATCTATGAAGGAATTTCAGCTGGAGATGATATTACAAAGGAAATAGTAGCTTTGATTAAAGAGAAAGGCTCTTAAGAAATGGAAGGGTTTCTGGCATGTTTTAAGAGATACAGGGGCGGGGTGGCCGAATGGGCTAGAGCGTGTGCACAGTATGCACGCGAGTTTCCCGGCAACCAAATATATGAAGTTTTGAGAGACAAAAATAAGTACGAGTTCGCGTCCCGGTGATCGAGGAAAAAAAAATGTTTTAAGAGATACTAAGTTGAGAATGATCGAGCCGTCAGTAGTTCCAAATCGGAAATATTATTTTTTTAATTTTCTACTTTCAAATTTATTGTTAAACTTTATATTGCGTAATATGGATATTGTGAAAGGGCTAAATGTTGGGTAAGAGGTTGAGGAGCTCCCCAGTTTTAGAAATAGATAATTAAAATTTCTTGATATAAAAACATAATAATTTCGTCAAAATTACATAAACGCTTGACATAAAACTTTATATATCGAATATAGTAGCAAGGTCTTCAAATCATTAAAGAAATATTCAAGCATAGTGCTTAGTGATTAAATTTCATAAAATGTCACTTAATGACGTTTTGAGATAAACTAAGGATAAAACGTCATTAAGTGACATTTTATGAAATTAAATCACTAAGCACTATGATAATTTTTCTCTCACTGAAATCTCACATAATGCACTTGCTACTATATTCGATATATAAAGGTTTATGTCGAACGTTTATGTTATTTTGACGAAATTATTATGTTTTCATATCCAGGAATTTTAATTATCTATTTCTAAAACTGGGGAGCTCCCCAACCTCTTACCCAACATTTAGCCCTTTCACAATATCCATATTGCGCAATATAAAATTTAACAATAAATTTGAAAGTAGAAAATTAAAAAATAATATTTCCGATTTGGAACTACTGACGGCTCGATCATTCTCAACTTAGTATCTCTTAAAACATTTTTTTTTTTCCTCCAGCACTGGGACGTGAACTCGTACTTATTTTTGTCTCTCAAAACTTCATATATCTGGTTGCCGGGCAACTCGCTGTACTGTGCACACGCTCTAGCCCATACGGCCACCCCGCCCCTTTAATAATGTTTTGAAATAAACTAAGGATAATAACTATGTTAAATTTAAATAATTATGAAATTGAAAAATATGTGGATTACTTAAGTTTTCATTTATGTTTCATTTACCGTGAAAAATGTCGAGAAAATTACAGTAATGGAATCATCGCCCAACCATAAATCACACTATTGAAGACTTGCTAAATTTTCGTAATTCATTTTACTAGTTACAGAATTCTATAAAAAATTATGTATACTATAAAAATATGATCGGTGTTTATTTAATATTTTACTACACTATGTCAAGCTGAACGTCATCATGAAGACGAAAGGATAAATTACTAATAATTATTCAGACACACATTGAAAAAGAATTTCAATTTCAATGAATGTGGATGGATGTGTAGTATTTTAAAAACAATATACAAAAATGGTTTTCTGAATTCGAAATTGTGTATTAAATTTAAAAGTCATTTATCTGATTGAAATCCCCAGTAAGGAAATCAGGACGCCATTCTATGAATTTGATTAAGTAAATTAATCCTTGTACTGAATTATTTGGATTTAATTTGATTAAATGTATAATTATTAATAATAAAAGATGGGGATGAATTATAGTCCGGAATACGGATCTCTTTTTAACAAACTATTAACATCGCCTGAAACTTCGTGAATATCTTCATCTCATCGCAACCTACTATTTTATTTACGCAAACCCTTGGAATTGGTGCGTTTTCAATCTGGTCTGCAAATTTTATCTATTTAATTAGGTACTAAAAACTCGTATGTACCCATTCCACTTGAATCGTAATATACTTTGATAACAAAATCGAGAAAAAATGTGGCCTACAAAAATATTGGGCTGTTTCGCCAAAACAACCTCATTATTTCCAATATTCTTGAAGGCCACCTTTTTTCGTGAGTTTATGCTCAAATGATCTTACGATTTAAGTTGAAAGCAAATGGGTATTTACTAGGTATTAGTACTTAATTAAATAGACAAGGTTATAATGGGTATACTTCTTATTAATATAATTTAATCAAATCGAAAAAAAATCACAGTGATATAATTTATTTATTTATGAGTAAAGACTTGAATTAGTTATGGATTTATTTAAGAGATTAAGGATTTGGAAAATATATCAATACGACTACAAATTAAAATAAATTTCAAAATTGTGATTTGAAATATACCACAGAGTATTTACGATTTTTCGAAGTATTTGGGACTGTGAGATTTGAATTTTGTTTATGTGGAAGTGTTTTGCGAAAACCCAAAGTTCTTCTCCTTCAATGTGATGATGGTTGCACACATAATTTATTTCTATTTATCAACTACACTTCATTGAAACATTGACTACCCTGGTAAACTTTATATAGCTTCCCGAATTCCAATAACTCCTCGTCAATATTAACTGTAGAGGAGAGGGACAGAGTCGTTAAGCTTTAGAAACGCTGAGAAATATCTGAATTTTCGATAAAACACAGGTCCCTGAGGTGATATTTTTTGTTAACATTGTCATCGTTAATTGGACGCTGCCTCTCGGCGGACATCAGAGTAATTGCTTTGCCTTGGGGAACACCTGTCCTTTATTCTATAACAAATCTTTTTCTCTACTCCGATGTATAATCATCAATTCTTTTTAGTTCACAACAAGCTTTAACTATCACGAACTATTGACAGAGAGACAATGCATATTTTTAGTTAGATAAATAATTTGAAAAGAATCCATGGATTCCTAATTGTTCTTACAATTTTAATATACATTGACAAGCACAAAATATTAATTTAGAGAGTTGAGAAATATAAAGAGCTTGAGAAAAAAAAGAAATATACGTCCTATTTTTTTTTTTTTTTATTTAACTGTTACTAAAGAATATTTTTCTGATTGAATGTGACTTTTCGTTTTTCATTAAGAATTTATATTTGATTGATTTAATTCCTTTTTTCTTTTGACATAATAACGTGTTTCAAACCTATGAAATTGCGATATAGTCCTATTGTGGAACAATTTTCGGTTCGTTAATTGCAGATTAATCGAATCAGTAGATATAATAATACGAAATCAAAGATCGGGGTTTCGTTAAAAAAAAATGCGTAGTAATAAAAAAAAACCTTTGAAACATCCTATCAAAATATCGACAAACAAGTGTATACTTTTTGAGTTATTCGGAATTTAATTTTACCATCCCTCGTAACTTTTTTTCCAGCTTCTTTTCGTTGAAGTATGTTACATAGATAAACTTAAAGGGCTTCGAGGAAATGACTTTAGCGAAGTTTCATTGAAATCAGTGCATTCGTTTAGACGCTACAGTCTATAGCAATGCGCGTAGTATAATAGCGCATATATAAGAGAAAGTAGTGGATAGAACTCAATAAAATTAACATTACATTTTTTTCTCACCAATATCAACATTTTATCAAACTTTGAGGCAAATCGAACGAGCCCTTTCTGAAATGTTGGGGATATAAAAAAAAAAATACGATTGGGCTAAAAATTTTGTAGATAAAATTTGATATACTGAGATAAAATTTTATAAAAATGATATGGGACCATCTAGGCACCAATCCACATAATCCCTGAACATTTCTTGAAAATCGGATGAACGGTACAAGGTGATATACCTGTCATATCGATTTGACTACAGACAGACAGACAGGCACCGAACCAAATTTTATCATTGATGTCTGAATCATAAAACGTGAGTAAAAATTTTTATCTTCGGTAATGAGTAAGCAAAAAATAAATAAAAGGAAATTTTCTACTGCAGTTATTTTAAAGTGGCAATGTTACCTTTCTAAATAATGGATACTGATACTAAAGTCATAGGCTTTTAAATTTTATACCTTTCTGAGGAGCATGGCCAATAAGAATCAATAGCATTAGTTTGTAAAATAACGTTATTAAAGTCGTTAAGTAAAAAAAAGAACTAATAATACCAGGCATTTATTATGCTTATTCACATTACTAGTACTTTAATTTTATAGTAACTTTTATATGAAAACTAATTTTATTGTAATTTCACTATTTTCAAACAAGTAAATTGAAGTGTTATATTTCTACGAGAGAAAATATCGTAATAAAATTTAAAAACATAGTAAATAGTTCTAGATAACACCTCGTCTTGAGAAAATATATATACCGAGCGTATATTATAAATAAATATTATAAAATATACCAAAGTTTCCGGCGATTAACGATTAACATTTTGGGTTAGCACCAATTTGAGACAGTTGAATATAATTTGTGCTTTTAGTAACCCACGGCAGTAGTTCTTGGGTTGCTGGTGTATATATATATATATATATATATATATATATATATATATATAATATATATATATATATATATATATATATATATATATATATATATATATATTATATTTAAATTACTTATTTCATTCGTTTTCGAAAATTATCTAATTTTAAATGTGTTATAAGAAAAGATATACTTTAAATTATTACGTATCAACGTATGTATACATTAAAACAAAAAAAGTAAGTAAGGTTTAAAGATTAAATAGAAAAAAAAAAACTTTTAGCTTTAGATCATACGATAGAAGTCAAGACAACAACAAGGCGAGATTAATCATATGACATAAAAACTATAAGTAATAGCTCATTACAAAGAGAATGAAATGATGAACATTTCCCTCTCTGATAATATGCAGGTCCGATTTTTAGTTTTTGAGATACTTTGATTCATATTCAAAAACCCTCCAATTAGTCGACTCAACCCGAGCGTTACACATCAGAAAGCTGCCAACTAAATATAATTCACCGTTCACAAAAAAGGGCAAAACGCACCTAATGTGAAGCTTAAAAAAATTAATATTTGTTAATTAAACTATTTTATTGTCTATCAGTTAGTTTCTTAAGTAAATAGCCTATTTTCATTACAATTAAAAAGTTTTAAATATTTGAAAAAAAAAGTTTTATTAGGTACATATTTCTGTATTTTTAAAATACCAGAGGAAGATTATCTTGTCTTCTCAAGGACCTTTAAAACATATACATAATATATTAAATAAATCTTAAGTAGAATTATAAAATAGTATTCGTATTCATTTGTTAGCGATCACTTAACGATGGTGGTTTACAAAATGGCTAGATATACTTTAAAGAAGTAGTCCAAGGATTGTAGAGGCTTGCTTGAAGTTGAGTAAGAGGATTGCTGATATAAAGCCAAAGAAATTGATTTTTATTGATCTGTTGAACACGAGTGCAATACCAACCGCTTCAGATCTGCTAAGGATTCGGCCTACAGATGTAACCGTAACCAAATACGTTGGTTATGCCATACTTTTCAGTCATGGCCTGACTTGGCCCACGTTTGCTTTAATCGCTCTGTAAAGCTCATCTCTGTAGTAGTCCTATGATCACTGACCATTTGGTACAGCGATGAAGAAAGGATTCAGTTCTTCGTCGGAAGAAATTTCAGCAGAGACGAGCAAATCGTACTGTATAATATTATGTTGGGAGAAAATAATTACCTAATCTAACAGATTCCCTCATAATGTGAAATGGACATAATTTTTTTTTTAATTTTATTTATAACACAAGTATTTAAAAAATTATGAAAAGTATAGCGTGTTTTACAACTGTGTCTTAAAATTCTACTAAGCTTTACCTCACTACATAACGTAAATATGGCAGAGTGGATCGATTTTAATTACCCAATAGATTTATTTTATATTTTAATCACCCATTAGTTTTTTTATGTTTAGAAAAAAAAATCACTGACTTATTAAGAGCTTTTCAGGATTTAATAATGGAAATATCGATTGTAAATAGATTCGAGTGACAAAAAAGTTTTAGAATTATAAAAACAAAGGCAATTAAACTTCAGATTAAGTTGAAGGTATTCTGACGTAAATTAAAAAAAAAAAAACATAATAGCAATCGATAATTATTTTTAATATACTTAGCTTTAAATATTCAAAATTTTAAATAAAAAAAAATCCTCTAAAATGTGCAAAGGTGTTTTGTTTTTCTAATGAAAATAAGTAATAAAATCGCAAAATTAAAAATATTTGAGGAGGAATTTTTATATTAACTACTGTTATTTTAATCTGCGAAGTGCCTTCGGTGTGGAAATTTCTATATTTCTTCTTAACTCATAAGATTTATTTCAATATATTGATTTATATTTTCATTTATATATATTTATATATATATATATATATATATTATGTTTCTTTTGCTAGGGATCTATAATAAACCAATCAAATATTACATTTTGATACCACTTCATTTCTCTAAGTTCATTCACTGTAGAGTAAAAAAGAGGAATTTCAATTATGTTAAACGAAAGAAGTGTCCAAGGAACAATTAACTAAAATTAACTTCAGCTATGATTATAATATACACATTAACAATCGAGATAATCCTTTTATAACTAAATTAAGTTAAAAGAAGATTAGGAAATAAAATTGTAGTTACAATTATTGAAAATTAATGGTCACCACATTTAATTAGTAAAGAAATTGTAAACTACATTGAACAAGTTTTAACATAATACTAAATAATTATGAGGATAAACGTAAAACAAAAAAAATTAACAACTATCAAAGATTTTATTTTGATAACAGTGATGTTTTCTTTAATTTAATGTAATATATCAATAGATAATATGTATATTCTAATAGTTGGCAATGCCAGTGTGTAATACATATTTTTCAAAATGTTCTCTATAAATATATTTATTTTTCTGTAGATAATGAATAAGAAAACAATAAGGTCTCGAAACATTGGCGAACGTTTTTATTCATTAATTGGGCTTCAATAAGCTTAGTATATATGTTATGTAAATGTGCATATGCATATTACAAAAATTATTTTAGTAATTAAGATGTAAATAAATAAAATAAAATGAATAATAAAAATGACTAAATATATATATATATATATATATATATATATATATATATATATTATAATTGAATTAGTTATTTCATTCGTTTTTGAAATTTATCTAACTTTAAATGTGTTATAAGAAGAGATATACGTATGTATACATTAAAACAATAAAAGAAAGTAAGGTTTAAAGTTTAAATAGAAAAATAATTTAGCTTTAGACCATACGATAGAAGCCAAAACATCAACAAGGCGAGATAAATCATGTGAAATAAAAACAATAAATAATAGCTCATTACAAAGAGGATGACATGATGAACATTTCCCTCGCTGATAATATGGAGGTCCGATTTTTAGTTTTTAGATAGATAGATAGATAGATAGAAAGTAAACTTTATTCTGGGACAAGGTCCCTTATGAATAACAGATATGAACAAAAAATAAAAACTACATCTGGCCAAAAATTACATTAATCAATATTAAAGAATATATACAGTATCTTCAGTGAAATTAAATTAAAACAAGTAAAAATAAAATAAAATTTTGAGAAAAAACGAAATAAAAAAAAAAACATTATTTAAATGAAAATAAAAATAAAATAAAATAAGCATGGGTTGATTTTTAAAATTAAGACAATAAATTTTATCAATCATTCACCTCAGTCAAAATCTGTTTCACAATATTTATTTTATTGTATAACGTCATTTTGGGATGTGAGAAGGAATTGGTAAAGATGATATTTAAATGAGGACAAGGAAGAGGCATGACGGATTTCAGATGGCAAGGAATTCCAGAAGGCTGTGGATCGGGAAATAAAGGAATATTCAAACGTCTTAGTTCTATGGGAAGGGATATAAAGGTCGGAAACACGGGATCTTGTTTTCTGGGAGTGGACCACGGGTTTAAACTGTAGGAGACTGTAGATGTAAGAAGGGTGTCTAGTGTTGATTGTTTGGAATAGGAAAGATCCGAGGAAATATTGTCTGCGGAAAGAAGGGAAGAGCCACTTTAACTCGTCGTAAAGGTGGGACACATGAGATCGCTTTGATGTACCGAAGACAAATCTTAAGCACGTATTCATGAGTCGCTTCAATCTATCCTCGAGTACCATCGGGATGCCTCCGTACACCACACAGCCGTAGTCAAAGTGGGGGAAAATGAGAGAGGATACAAGGAGCTTGCGGATGGGTTGTGGGAGTAGGTGGCGGGAGCGATGAAATAGCTTAAGGGTACCTATTGACTTACGGGAGATGAGGGCAATATGGGGTTTCCAGGAGAGGTTTTCGTCTATGGTGATTCCTAGGTTTTTAACGGATGAACTGAATGTGACAGGATGATCGTTGATGACTAAAGGAGGAAGGAAGGAGATGGATTTAAGAATAGGACTGGAACCTATAATAATGGCCTGAGTTTTCATCGCATTTAGATTTAAATTATTCAGACTTGCCCAGGCACTGATCCTATCTAGGTCAGCCTGAATATTGGCGAACGCGACTAGTAGCTCAGAAGGATGAAAGGAAAAATATATTTGGGTGTCATCAGCGTATAAATGATGTGAACAGTGGTAGATGGATTTGGAAAGATCATTTATGTAGGAGTTGAAAAGGAGAGGGGAAATGCTCGAACCCTGGGCCACTCCAGAGGACAGTGTAAGAAAGGAAGATAGGGGTTGGTTTGGAATGCTGACTGCTTGAGTTCTGTCGGATAGGAAAGACTGTAACCAGAGGATAGAGCTGTTGGAGAAGGATAGAGATTTTAATTTAGTATAGAGTATAGAGTGGTCTAAGGAGTCAAAAGCTTTGGAAAAGTCGAGAAGTATTAATACAGTTAACATTTTTTCGTCCATTGCGGTATGTAAGTCATTGGTAATTTTTAGTAGGGCGGATTGTGTGGAGAAGCCAGGTCGGAAACCAGATTGGAGAGGATCGAGTAGTTTTGAGTTTTCAAGGAATTTAGAGATTTGGGATTGAGCTATTCTTTCCAGAGGTTTAGAAAGGTTAGAAAGAATGGAGATTGGGCGGTAGT